AAAATGGCGGGGAAAGGGTTCAGATTCTGGCTTTTTCTTAGGAGGGCCTTCGGAGGGCCATCACAGAATATAATGGCTCAGGATGCAGTATAGGATGTGGCTGCTAGACGTACTGGTGCATTGAGATTGAACTCTTTTGCTGGGTCTTGCCCACTATCTGCTACGATGTAGATATTTGCCCTGTTGTCTGGACTGCTGAAACATCGAAAAAAGCAAACACTTGGCTTTCACACATCTTTCCTTCTTTCGAAAATCAGGCAGCAAACACGAAGATGAATTCATGTGCCATCGTTGTTTTGTGAAGATTTAACTGAAGCCTTTGCGTTGGTATTGAATGTTGTTTTTGAGAGTTTGGTGAATATTGTTTTGTAAGGTTTTGGTTCTTCCCTTTGCAAACATGAACACAAGCCAAGCCAAAGTAAAAGAAATCCAGTAAGCAGGTGCATATGTAAAAGCGTGTAAGTTCTTACATCTGTGCAGCCCCGTAATCTCCGGGCCCATGTCGCAGCAAGGGCTGTGCCAGGGCAGGTCTGCATCTCTTCTTCGAGTCGTTCGAACTTTTGCTTTAGCGAAAATTGAAATTATCATCCTTTCCAACTTTCAAACTGAGGCAGCTTCTCAAACCTGGATTCCCGTTCCATCCAAGTGTTCAAATTCCAAGCGCGTGCTTGTTTTTAAACTCGAAGCTGTCAAACGTTCGAACTTCCAGCAGTCACTTCTCCAAACTTTTCAAGCTTTCCAATTTCAATCTCCCCAATCTCGCTCTCCAGCTGATACGCTCAAACTTCACAGTTTGGAAAACCCTACTCGTGACAGAGAGAGAGAGAGAGGTATCTGCATATATATACTACATGCATGTGCACTTTATGTAGCTAGTTGCCAAATATGAAGTTACAGATAGGTAAACACACAGCTGCTGGTTCTTCTTGGCACAAAGCGCTCAACTGTGCCGCCATGCCGAGGCCTGGAGCGAGAGCAGTTCGTCGCCATCTTCAGCGGCCAGGTCGGAAATTCACGAACAAACGTTTGTATCCAATTCGCCACCACGGCATTTGGTCTGGGAGTTGGAGTTGAGAGGATGCGTAGATAAGAAAATCTAGACGTCGGCTTTAACGAAGCATTCAGGCGTTTTTGAGACGTCAAGAGGTACAGGGTTCCAAGAGGTTTAAATGTTTCACGCTTAGGGGTGTATTGCGGACGCTCCTGCCGTCATGCGGCATCATACCCACCGGGCGAAGGACAACTTGCTTACGTCCTCAGATAAAAATGGGGAGACTAAACCACTGGTCTCAGCCATAACACTAGCACTGGCCTGAGTGTCAGCATCTGGACTCCACTCATACAAAGCTGAACTCCAAACCCTGACAGGGGAACGGAATCCTGAGCGAATACATCCCTGCAGGCAAGCAGTGCCGTACAGTACACACAACGCGCACAATCGCCCTAACGTGTTCGGTTGAGGCTCGTCTAGGGCTGGTGTTCAGGGTTCGGGGTCTCGGTTCTGGGGTTTAGTTCAGGGTTTACCAGTCTGGAAAATAAAGGCAAGGTGACAATATGTGGAGTAGATGGTGGGATTCTAGGGGTCCTGGGTCCTAGGTTTAGTTTAGTAGCATCGTTATCAGGGTAGCGGTCGAATCACAAAGACAATATGGTCGTAGGGCCGTAGAGGGCTAATTATGGTTGGAAGCGTTTGGGCGAAGCCAGGGCGGCATGGAAGATGAGTTTGACGACGACTTCCTAGATGAAGAGGAAGAGATGATGCTGAAGGAGCAGGCACGCTTGCAGCTTTCAGCCTCTGTGCGAGCCTTGCGCGAGCCTCCTTTCCTTCTCACCGCTGACACTTCAGTTTTCCCATGCTTGGGAAAGTAACCCTTGCAAGAACCCTGCTACTTCCTGAGCAGTCAGTGGGTCGGTATGCCAGACGAGACTCATGAGTTGTTCCCTGCTGGATCAGTTCGAGCGCGGCTATGGTGGAGGGCCTGGTGGCGGCGGCGGCGGCGGCGGCGGCGGCAGAGGCCGTGGTGGTGGAGGAGGCAGGTTCGCGACAGAATAGTCCTTGCGATGAAAGGATGACCTCTGATTCGTCTGTGGGTGAAGTGTCTGCGCACACAGCCCTGGCCCTAACCTGCGCTGCATCAAGATTCAAAGAGCCCAGCGACGCATGCCATGCAGAGATCTTCAACCAGAAGAGCTGCACAGGCGGGGGCGGCCGAGGACGGCAAAATTACGGAGGTGGAGGCCGCGGAGGCGGCGGAGGCGGCGGTGGAGGCTGCGGCATCCGTGGTTTTGATATTGCTTGTCGGACGATCAAGTGCTACTTGCAGTGTCACAGTGTGAACATAAACTCACTTGCTGAAATCCATGGTGAAGCCTCACGCCTAAGCAGGTTGAAAACGCCCTCAAATCAAAACAGCCTTAGGCCCCAGGCTTCAGATCACCTGCAACCACGGGATCCCTGTGAAGCCGACAGGACGTGGTCGAGGCCGACGACCCTGAGAGGCCAAAGCGGCATGGGGAGAGGGTTCCGCTAACAAGGGGCTTAGGATTTTGGGTTCAGGGCTTTGTGCTGGATGGGGAGATCAAGCGGTTTGCGTCTAGGGGTTTTCCGGGCCGAGAACATCACCACTGTAGAGAGGAGTGGAGAATCAGTGGGGAACCACGAACCGGGTAGGATTCCTTGCCCATTCAAAATGTCGTAGATTTCTGCTGGTTCTTTTTTCCTGTGGCTTCGAGAAGAGCTCTCGATCTCTGGATGAGGGAAAGCAATGTCACGACTGTTTGACTTTGAAGACTTATGATTAGATCTTGAGAGCGTGCTTCACATGATCAACCGATATTGCTGCTTCACATGATCAACCGATATTGCTATGGCTAGTACTCTGAGGATTATGTTTCAAATGTGTTGTAGCGCCAGCAGAAATTTTACAGGCGTGGCCCACGCTGCTTTGTCTCACATTGTCGGAGCCCAAGGCGCGGTTTGCGGATGAAGCTGTACAGTTTGCTTGAAGCTTCTTTTGTATGATACGGCACCCAGCTTTCTAATACCTCGTGGTTTGAGCGGTGAGGACATTCGGCTTCGAGCCTTCGCAGATTCATTCCAAGCACGGGCGCACACGTGTCTACAGTTCGTGAAATCGAGTGGACCTGTTTGTGTCACGATCCCCACGTCCACGACACATCAACTGCTTATGGCAAACTATCGATTCCCACCTTGAGTGCACGCACCTGTCTAAGGTAAGCAGCCAGCCAAGACCCGAATCGCTTGGCCACAGAACCGAAACGATTTATCCCTGGTCGACAATCGCACTGTGCCAGATCCGACTGGCAGTTATGCCAAACCTGCGACGATGTGATGCCCAGTACAGTGCTTTGAAGCCGAACATAGATGCCAAAGCGCAATCTGGAAAAAATATACTTCGTTGCGATATTTGCAGAATATAATTGTGGACACTGTAGGTGTTGTGGGCACGCAGGGTAGGCTGAGGGCATGTGGACGTAAGTTCCCAGAGGGTCCCCCATTCCGAAGTAGACCTCAGGCATGGACAGATGTTAGAGGCATTGCCGCGCCAGTGTTGCCCAAGGAGTCTACAGTCTGAGTTCGTGGCACTAAGTGGCTCCATCGTTGCATGTGGGGCCTTGTAAGCTGGTAACTTCACACAAGTTGGACGAGCCGCCGACTTGAGTCAAAACAGCTGACCAGCCAACGAGCCGCCGAAGCCTGAAGCAAGAACCGAACTGTTCAGAAGCCGGGTCCTTAAGTTAGGGAAGTGCCCGGTTGAAGTGCCCGTTTCCATGGCCGGGATGGTCGGCTGAGGTGCAGGGTAGGCTTCTGCATGGAAAGATTGGTTGTTCTTGTCGCACAACGTGCCGGTCCATGCTGGGCTTCAGCTGCATCCTTACCAGAGCCTTGCAATGCTTTGCAGAATGCAGGTCGTCGGCTGTTTGCAGAAGGCAGGTCCGTCGGCTGGTTTGACATGGCACAGGCGGTGCTGCAGGCAGAGTACGACATCTATTCTCCGGCCGACGGTACCGCCAGGATAACCCGTCGCAGATCTGAAAGAGCGGCAGATGTCCAGTGCCGCGCGGCCCCCGTCCCGACAGGCAATCAGGGTTGCCGGTTCCCGATTGTCAGGAGCCACTCCTGTTCAGCAAGGACCTAAGCACCCCTTCTAGAGGGCACGGTTCGGGTTCCTCGAGGGAAGTTTGATGCAAATGGCAGGTTCCGAGAAGGGTCCCAACATGATTATACTCTTAAGGTCATCATAGGTCACCTACAAGGGCTACTATACCGGTTACTATAGGGACACTATTGTGTTGCTATAGAAGGCTTTACAGGGATTGGCCATCCACAGCCTCATAGAACCCATTACTGGCAACAAACTTTGAAGTAACCCTATAATACTTTCGGACTTCGGACTTACCCGTATAGGAGCCCCTATTGGAACCCTTAGAACCCTCGTGGTGTTTCGCTTTCATCTTTGGGCTCCGATGCGCTTCAAAGCAGTGTCTAAGGCCCGCGTCCGCTTCTGTGGCACTTTGCCTTTGACCGTTTGTGCCCGGCTCCCAGTGCATCCCCCTGCGCACATGTGAACCAGAACACCCGACAGTACATGCAATCCTCCGGCAGTCGATTACGATCTACTCTCTCCAACTCTTTCTCACCGGGCCAAGATCTGGTTAGTCTTCACGGCTCTGGAAACAGGATCCTATGTTTAAGGGGATACGACCCTGCAGAGCTGACTTCTCATCTAGGGGGTGTGCTGAGCGACCTGCGCCGAAGTCACGACGGCGGGACTGGGCCTTTAATTCTCACCGTGGGCAGAGGTGCCAAGAGGAGAGGGAGGGTTTAGGGCTGTAGGGCAGTCTGAAAAATGCGCTTCGTCTCAATGCGCCGAGACAAGGCGTGCGACGAAGCGCGTCGCTCGGATCCCATACGCGAGAGTCCCAGCTGCTAGCCGAGTGTTGTGCCTTACGTACAGGGTTCAAGGTTTGAGGATCTTTTTGGGGTTTAAGGCTTAAGGGTTGAGGCTTGGCGTGTTTGTACGATGTTCATGAGTGGCAGCTAGAGCACCTGCGCCGCCCCTGGAATGGCGAGGTCTGTCTGTTCATGACAGCGACAAGTTACAAGCTGCCTCAGCAAAGATTCCTCAGCCATCCTACGCTTTCAGGATGATCTGATCGACTTCTTCGACTCTCCAGGCGCGCTGAGACAGGCTGAATTGCTGGGAAGGTTTCACACAGGCGAGCATCCATCATGCCTTGAGTTCAGGAGAAAGAGATAAAGAGAGCCCGGTATTAGCCCTGCGCTTGATGCCATGGCAGTGCGGCCGAGACGTTCCCACTGCCATGCTCCGCAAGCGGTGGAGCAGGTCGGGCAGGTGGCGACTGCGGCATGCGCAGAGCCAGAGCGCGGCGATCTGGGAGCGCCCACGAAGCGGAGAGCTGAGCCTGAACATGTCCTTGACTGCTCTCAGAGATGCCGGCGACGTCGACTCCGTACTTTCCGTGGTGAACTTGCAGTGTCGCCAGCGACTCTTGCCCGATCGAGTAAGCTACAATATTACTCTCAGTGCCCTCGAGCGTTCCTCGCGTTGGCAAGCGGCTATTCGCATCTTTCAGCAAATGCGGGGAGAGGCGTCTCCCAATTTGATATCTTTCAACACCTTGCTGAGCTCCCTTGCTCGCGGCAAGAAGTGGCAGTCGGTTTTAGACCTCCTAAGTTTCGACGGTGCACTCGTGTGCTTTCGCAGGGCACGGATAAGTCCTGATGCCGTCAGCATCGGTACCGCCATCGCTGCCTGCGCTCGTGTAATCCGCTGGCCTGTGGCATTGATTCTGTTGGGGCAGCTAAACAGGTTCGAGGAGAAGATCACAGTCAACGCTCGCCGGGCAGCCGTGACGTCAACGCTGTGGGCATGTGGAACTGCCTCTCGGTGGCAGCAGGGGCTGCACCTGCTGCATCCGATTATGCGAAATTTAAAAGCTGATGCTTCCTTGATGGGAGCCGCAGTCAGCGCCTGTGCCTTTGGCCAAGCCTGGGAGCTGGCAATCGCCTTCCTGGCAGTGGCTGAGCATCGGAGCTTGAGCAACGTTGCAGTGCGCCGCTCGGCGATTGCTGCCTGCGAGTTGGAGAACTGGCCAACAGCACTGCTGCTGCTGGCGTTCCTGCAAAAATCTGGTCCTGACCCGGCGGGCGTCAGCTCAGCGATCTCAGCTGCAGCAAAGGCTGCCAGGTGGGAGCTAGCACTCTCCCTGGTGCAGATGCCATCACTCCCCTCCCCGGGCCTGCATGCTGCAGTTCAGGCTTTGGCACAAGCTGTAAGGTGGGCAGAGAGCTTGGAGCTGGTCCGAGAAATGCGCAGCTATCCCAGTGGCCTTTCGTCGGCAGCTGCCACCGTCACCGCGGCCCAGCTTCACTCCCTCTTCTCGCGACTGGTGCGACGACTTCGCAGTGCAGCTTTTCGGAACTGGCATGTGGCAAGAGGCACCGCTGCCCAGGACGAACACTTGGGGAATCTGATGGATGCGATGGACCTAGCAGTGTTCAACGGGGCCTCCGACATTTCAACTTTGCTCGTTTACAGCTGCCTTCTGGCCGTGCAGAGCACCGAACCCTTGGAAGTCAGCCAGCTACGTGCGGGTCCCTTCCTTGTGCGCTCCGCCATTGATCTGAATTTGAACTTTCCTGTCGAGCACTCTGCTTTCGCCCGTTCCGCTCGTCGCGAGGTCATCGAGGTATTTGCCAGTGCTGGTCTCCTTGCGGGAGATGCGTCCGCCAGTTCCCTGCTCGTTTGGCTGGCGTTCGAGGTCAGTATCTCCTCGGAACTTCGCACTGCTGTGTCTGACCAGGAGAAAACATGTTTTGCCTT